ACAAATAATGTTGTTCCCACCCTAAGTTTGCCCTACCCCTTCCCCCCACGCTCGCGCAAGCGCGTTCTCTTCGGTTTCCTGCCGGCGGGCTCGACTCAACGGCGTCCACAGCGGTCGACGAGTCTTGTCAGTGTGCCGGTAGCTTGCTTTCGAATTGCCTCTCTCTTCCAATGTGACCAAAGACGACTCATTGGTGGAATATGCTCCGCCCACTGCGCCCCTAGAACAACAGCTCTGGCAGGGAACACCCCGCATCGTCCAAAGTACAATCTGTCCGTAGAGGGCGGCCAAGTTGGGTTTCTTGCGCCTGTCAAGATCGTGTGATCTACTCATTGTCGATTTCTACGGAGTCGCAAGACTACGAACATAATATCGATCTCTCGAACAACCGAGGAAGAGAATAGACAGGAACTGCCCCTTTTAGTGATTGTGATGACAACCCGTTTAATCGATTTTATTGCAGTGGGAGAACGATCAGTTACTAGACATTGTGAAAAACTGGAAAATGCCCTCCTCCCCTGCGAGCAACACGGTCCTTTGAAAAGGGTTTTTTCGCTTGCCAAAGATGCTCCCAAACTTTCGACAGCGCCGTGGAGAGCAAGCATCTGCTTGATTTCTGGAATTCTCGAGGGTTTGATCCTCTTTCACAGCTGAAGGCCAAACTACGGCACTTCTGAACAGTAGAACCAATAGAGATTACTCTAGACTTGAGCATCACGAAATCGCTTTCCAGTCGTCCAGAAACTATTTCATGTCACCGTCTTCATGACTTCGCAATGATTAATGTGCTCAATCTGAACCCAATTCGACCTCCCTGTGTCTGAATTCTCAAACGCTTTACCGAAGACGTCGAAACTTCACACAAACCTGATTTTAGCTGATGCCCGTGCTTTTCGGCAAACGAATTCTTTTGAGACTTCAGAGTAACTACAGAGAACTTCAAATGAATCGTAAGTTGCTTCATATCGATCTCCACCTCTTGGAGAATGCCATCTTTCATATCATTGACATTATGATTATCCAAAGAGTATTCCAACCGTAAATATCTTCTCGATATCAATTTAGCTACTTCAGTAAGCTGAGTTTAAAGAACATTTTCACTAACAAAAGCCTTACAAATTAGCAGACAGCAGAAAGCGCGCCAACATAGAGGAAGAAAATTTTGCTTCTATTTCTAGTAAACTTGATTCCAATGTTCCTGTCATGTTGCACCTACTCCAGAACCAACAGCGAAGAAAGTTGCACCAAGGAAAGCGAGAGGATAGATTTGGACCAGAGGATAGATTGAGGAAAGATTGAAGCTCAGTTGAAGCTATCCTGGGACAATAGGTACGCCCATACTGCACTAAGAGGTGTTTGAAGGAAAGTTATCAAAAGGCAGTGGTGGCCCCCACAAAACAACGGCTGGCTCAACGATCCACCAACCGGGACTGCGGTAAACATCCCAACTAAGCTACATATTTTCCATACGCTTAGCATTAACATGGCCATGGTCAAAAGCTAATTTGCACTGTTACTAATTTCGTTGGAGATTTAAAGAACCGAGGCAAAGCAAAAAAGGCTGCATAGTGTTTACAGCGATCGATTGTCTGCCAAGAGAACGGGGTCAAAGGAAACAAAAGAATTTAGAGTAGAATAAAGCTGCGCTTTCTACAAAAAGAATGAAATGCTGCAAGACAGATGATCAACTTCCCAAAAGCGGTAAGGTATTCATGAGAAGGATTACACCTAGGCTAAGGTCGTTGAGCACAAGGTACGTAAAGCCGGTCTCAAGCAAAAAAGAAAATGAGTACTCTCTAATTTGGATTCGATACAAGCATACAGGAAATTTACGGGGGATTCGATACAAACATACAGGAAATTCACGGGAAGGGTTACGATCATAAAGAGGTGATACAGCCCTGGCTCGGTGGAAATCGACTTTGTATCGACCTGTGAAAGCATATTTCGCAGTTTTGTAGGTGAATCAAAAGCAGAGCTTGCGCTCTAATCTAGCTAAAGTTCCGCCCTAGGTGTTGGCACGACGAGGAAGGCTATGCGCTCAGAGTTATATTTTATCAGGAGCCGGGATTTACAGCCTCTAATATCTTGTCGATTCTTGAGATGGCAAAGTTGAACAACCAACCCTTATTTGCGAGTGAGCCTGGTTTTTAGGAAGTCACCTACTCTGACGCCACATTGACTCCTTGCCCTTGCGAATCATGATTCAACTCATATCGGTTCTACTCGAGATGTCCTTCGGCGTCCACATGATGGCGACAGACCTCAAAGCCCACATGTTGTCTTCACGTCAAATCACAGCAGCATCTGTAGTTCCGAAGGGTATCGCCTCTCTGAGATGACGCAGCAAAGCCACATTTGTGCTCTGACTGCCTGTTGTTCCGGTATCTTGGCGAGACATGGCCCTAGGACGATCAATTCTCCGCAGTCTCGTATTGAGCGATTATCGATGATCACGAAACACTACCCACCCTGCAATCGATAGCTCACCCGCTTTGAAAAAATTTCCTTCCTAGTCGTTACACGTTCCTGAGCCTAACTCAGGCCACCAACATATGTAAGAATTGCTACAGCAACGATCGAGAATAGCATCGCGAGAGTTTATTAAGTCCACGAGATACAAACTTCACCAAGCCGAGAGCTATGGTGTCGTCAGTCCTTCCGCTATTCTAGTCGCGTTTTGAGAAATTCAACTAGTTTCCATAATTTGAATAAACGACGTCTTTAGCTGCTATGACGAAGATAATGTCAAGGAAGAGTAGACTATGCTAGGGCCCTCATTCCACCTGAAGCGATTCAAGGAACATCATCCATCGACTGAGCACATTGACTCTTAATTATTCATGGGATTCGAGTAGCCGGAACAACTTTTTCCGTTTCGAGAATTGAGATGATGAAAAGCTTCATCATTAAGATAACTCCTCCACCCCATATGAACCCAGAGTCGATTCAGATGATGTGAACTTAGCCATTCGCAGAAGAACCAGAATTATGGTGTCACCAGTCCTTCTTCCTGGTGTGACGACAAAACCGGCACTGAGAAGTAGACCGTAGCAGTCAACTTCTTGGCATCAGAAACTGTTCAAGAAGAACCTGCCATCGATCGAACAATCTGATTGCTGCCACCGTCCTGTGAACCGAATTGCCAGAACGACTTGCTCACATCAAAAACCGAAACGATGGAAACACTCATTGCGACAGCTTAGCAAGCCTATCTGAAGATAAGAGCAAAATTAGGTAGACCGCGAGGCCCGCTACTCATCTATGCATCCTGTTAAGAACTGATACTATGGTTTAGCCCGCCTTCCTGTTGTTACAGTCGCTTTTGGAGAAATCCAATTGACTTCAACACCGCTGTTGATTTAGAGGCGTTCTCGTTTGCCTTCCTTCGATCCATGATGGCCCAAAAATACCATTTACCAAGCAAGCGCCTTGATTATTTGTGTGCCTGATTGACCGTTACTTACGCCAAGGAGCTGATGACCAGAGGTCGAGCACTTCATGCGATCTTATGAAGACCGCAGGACCAAGCTAGTCGGAAGATCGGACAAATCAGGACGACAGCCAATCCGGTAGTCAGACTTCTTCACAAGTGCTCGAATGTAAAGAATGATAGCCCCTTGTCTTTTGAGCGAAGTGGTTCAATGGAATGGCTCGCGACGAGAATGAATGGGAACGTTACAGGCAATCGTTCAAAGAAATCGATGATCAATCGAATGGGTGGTGATGAGCCAAATTGCCAGATCAACTTCACCATCACAACAACAGACAAGATAAAAGAAACCATTGCAAGGCTATTGTCAGCAAAAATTTCACCGTTTAGTTCAAGAGTATTGCGATTTGTTTTTAGATGCTGTATTAATCATTATCAAACATTTCCGAAAACTCAGCTTACTGGGAAAGCGAAATCGATATCAAAAAGGAATTAGTCAATGGATTACCCAATAAATAATCATAATGTCAATGATATTCAATGATGACATTCCCCGAAGAAATGGAGACGACAACAAAGCAACTCACCATTCAATTGAATTTCCGCGTAATCACTCCTTGAGTCCCGGAATAATATATTTGCCGAGAAACAAAGGCTACAGCTGAAACCGGGTTGGCGTAGCGTCTCGAACACTTAAGCAAAGCATTCGAGAAGTCAGACATTGGGAAGCTAACTGGGACCAAACTGGCAGCATTAATCTTTGTGAAACAGAAGTAAGGCCCATGATATAGCCCTGGACAACTAAAAAGTCTTTTCATAATGCTCAAGTCTGAATAACCTCCGTCGGCTCTTCTGCCCAGAAGCTACGTGGCTTAGCCTTCAACGGTAGAAAGGGACTCTCCAGAGAATCCAGAGTGGAGCAGACATTGCTCCCCCGGAGCTACCGAAGTTTGCGGCTAACTCCGACAAGCGAAAAATTCCCATTTCAAGGGCAGTGCTGGTCGCATTATGGCGAAAGATTTCAGAGAACAACAGACCCCTATTCAAGATTTGCGTGGTGGAATACTCGAACCGCTTTTCACGCATTTGAAAATTGGGATAACAGTGATCTGCACAAAAAAGTTGTTGCAATAGAGTGTCATAATGCCCTCCCTCCTTTTTGAGCCCCCTACTTGAATGGAACCATCACCTTTTTTAGCGGGTGTTCCCTTCCCTATGACGATGTTTCCGTTTTTTTTTTGTGCTGTGGACAAGTGAAAATTGTAATTACCACATTTGAGGCAAAATTTAAACCCAAAGAAGAATTTCCAGCTTTTCACAATGTCCAGTGACTAATCGTTCTCCCACAGACGCTCAAAATCCACCGGCGATCACAATAAAACCCATGGTATAAATATGCAAAAGATTAGATCAAAAATCCCTATCTATTCTCTTCCTCATTTGCTCGAAAGAACGACATTATGTTCGTAGTCATGCAACTCCGTAGAAACCGACATTAAGTAGCTCACTTTATCTCGACAGACGCAAGATACCCAACCTGGCCGCTCTTTACAGAGCCAGATTCCACTTATGGACGTCGCGAGAAGATCCTTCCCAGAATAGTTGCTCCAAGAGCACAGCAGACGAAGCGCATCCCATCAATGAGCCGTCCTTGTTCACACCGGAAGAGGGAAAGCAATCCATAAGCAGCTACCGGCACACTGACAAGACTCGTCGACCCCTGCGGACGCCGTTGAGTCGAGCCCGTCGGCAGGAAACATTTGCGCAGGGATTCATTGCGGAAGGGCTGAAATCTTTAGAAGGA